GTTTAGGTTTGAAGGGGTGTGAAGAGGTACAACAAGTGCTTCCTTAAGAAGCACACATGCAGAGGTTTTAAGTCTCAAAGACTTTCGAAAAACAAACTGTTGCCGGATAAAAAGTGATGCGCGTGTGCTGCGCCGCGCAACAATAAGGGTTTTGAAGAGGTTTTTTAAGAAAAACAAACAACACCTAACTGAAAGCTAGCTTTTATCTAAAAAAACTAGCTTTTAAGTTGTGTTTGGTGCGTCAGGACTAACTAATAATGTAGTTTGTTTTTCAAGCTTTTTTAAGTTATAATGTTTGGCAAACTAAAATGTGGCGTATAAACTACCTGAAAAGAAAGCTAACTAGCAGTTGATTACCTACCTTATGAATTAATAATGTTTGATAAAAAATAGTTGATAAGTAAAATTGAAATTATTAAATGACATAAATAGATATGTAGATATAAAACTAAAAAACAACATTAAATATTAAGGATATATTTAGCCTAGCCGAAAACAATCGTTTCCATTCGATCCACTTCTATGTTTGGCGTTGGTTTTCTCCTTTGCACGTGTCATTTTTGTCTGAGTCCAATTGTTCATAGCTTCCACGACTCCTATATTCTTTCCTGCTCATCAAACCTCGATTTCATGTTTGCTTTTCCTTTCTAACTACTTTTATTTTTCGATTAGGGCTCCACTTCACTGATTTTCTCTACCGATTTCTTAGTTCCTTGATTTTCCGTCATCTTCAAAGACCGCCAAAAACCCATTGTCCAATGCCTTCCTGTGTGGTAGTGTGGTACTCTGAGATGTAATTTCTCTTTACATACGGCTATTGCTTTGTTTATTGAATCTCTAAATCGATTGAAGGAATGAATGGTATGCCTGAAAAATCGAAGATTATTTGAAGCGTTTTGGTGAACAACAACAAGTTCACTCCTCCGCACACCACTCGAAGCTTCGTGCGACTGTGTTTCTCTCCCAATTTCATTCGTGTTTGAATTCCAACCTCTTGATGATCGTATACATGGTGGCGGTGATTATAAGGTTGTTGAAAACACCGCTGAAGCAGTCAGTGTTAACTGCCTGGTCCAACACCATCTCCATTTTCTGTTGTTGTTGGTTGTTGTTTGATGCCATGGAATACGGAATTGAGGTACTTTGTTTTCAGGTACTTTGCTTTTCCCATTTTCTTTTTGTTGATTGATCAAATTTTCCCATTGGTATTAAGTATTGACCTTGGAACCACATATTATTCTTCCCATGTTTTTCTTTCACCGATTTTGGAGTGCAACACACAGAAAGATTAGGCAACAATATGATCCTACAAGTACATTCATAACCACTAAATCCCTAATTGTGTTTGGATATGGTAATGATTTTTTAATTTTCTGTACTGGAAGGCTAGATGAGGTACAACATTGTCATATGATAATTTAGTATATATGTAAGCTTAGTTAATTCCATATTGCATTTGTTTATTTCACTTGGTTTATTTGCCCTGGGAAGATAGAGAAGATGAAAATTTTTAGCTTCATGTATGTCCTACCATCTGCTTACAATCCTAAGTTGTAACATTCTTATCCTACACATATCACAATATTATCCGCTTTAGGCTCCTGACGCGATAACTTTCCAAGGGAGCACCCATCCATGAATTGCTCTCACCCAAACACGCTTAACTGCATAGTTCTTACGGGATTTGCTGTCCTTACGACTTTAAAACACGTTGTTACAAGGAAGGTATCCACAACCATAATAAGGAAATGTTTTGTTCCCCATCCAAGCCGATGTGGGATCAGCTGCAACCCACATCCACCCACCATTATAGGGTTCGATGTCCCCGTCGAACACATCGACCCGTGCCCCAACTCTGATACCAACTTATAACATCCCAAAAATACCGAATAGAAATTTCATTTTAAATAATTCAAAACCATTCACTCATTGTTCCAAAAGACGATCAGAGTTAAAGTATTCTTAAAACATCAGAGTAATTTATAAACATTCAATGCAAAATAAAACTTCAAGGGATGCAGTGCGATCAAGTCGGGCTCTTCCTTTTGAAACAAGAAGTACTTGAAACATTTTAAACATAAACCGTAACCACAAAGCTTAGTGAGTTACCCAAAATACTATACATCAAATATGAACGAGCCCAACCCAACATACATTGCTTCGGGCCCAGCCCATATCATACATAGTCGAGCCCAACCCATAACATATATAATCGGACCCAGACCTATAACATAAATAATCGCACCCAACCCATAACATACATAACCAAGCTCAACCCATAACATACATAATCGGGTCTAACCCATATAATCGGGGCTAACCCATAACATACATAATCAGACATATCCCATATAAAACATACAAATACATGTAAGAGTCACAAAGATAACTAGCATTCTACAAATATAATCCAGTGGGTCGGTATTGATGTCTTTGACCCACGGGTACACTGAAGAGACTCACCTTGATTTGTGATGTGTGCATAGTGAACTACATATTTAATGCATATTTCTTATGCTTTGAGCTACTCTTATGCTTAATATGGAACAAAAGATAATTATTATGTTAAAAATTTGTTTTGTTGAGGCGAAGACTTGTTTGGGATAAAAAGGGAACATGTGAGGAGCTCGAAGCAGGAAACGGTAGCTAAAACCAAATAAGAAAAGACGATGTCTGAAGACCACATCGTGGTAATCTAACCACAACGTGGCGATTGGAATATTTGTGAACCATATGTTGACTTTGCAGACACTTGATTTACTCGAAGACCACGTCGTATTGTAACAGGTGAAGCTTTACACCATTTTTTCTCTTATAGGGAATATCATTGCATTTACTAAAAGTATATTGGATACAATCCTTATCGACGGTAGATTCATTAGAAAAAGCAGCATCCAAAAAATTAGGGGTGACAATTGTTGACACGGCACGACAAAAATAGACAACACGAAACGAAATTGGGACGAAACTGAAATTCAAATCCGTGTTCATGTTAAGTGTAGAAAACATGATGTCGTGTCGTGTTTAAAATTCGATACAAAATTGACACGATTTAGCATTTATTTGTTGTGTTTTTCGTGTTTTTGGTGTTATGTATGATTAGATATTAATTAAATAAACTATTTTTTTTTATTATTTTATCTTTGTCGTGTCGTGTTTGTCTTTTTTTTAATCGGTTCGTTTCCGTGTTAGTTAAAAAAAACACGACATCATGTCGTGTCGTATTCGTGTTACATAAAACATTGTTGTGTCAGACAAAAACACGACACGATGACCTGATTTGCCGCCCCTACAAAAAATAGTCAACAAATGTCATATGTGATGTACTAAGACCACATCGTATTGTAACAGGTGAAGCTTTACACCATTTTTTCTCTTATAGGGAATATCATTGCATTTACTAAAAGTATATTGGATACAATCCTTATCGACGGTAGATTCATTAGAAAAAGCAGCATCCAAAAAATTAGGGGTGACAATTGTTGACACGACACGATAAAAATAGACGACACGAAACGAAATTGGGACGAAACTGAAATTCAAATTCGTGTTCATGTTAAGTGTAGAAAACACGATGTCGTGTCGTGTTTAAAATTCGATACAAAATTGACACGATTTAACATTTATTTGTTGTGTTTTTCGTGTTTGTCGTGTTTTTGGTGTTATGTATGATTAGATATTAATTAAATAAACTATTTTTTTTATTATTTTATCTTTGTCGTGTCGTGTCGTATCGTGTTTTTTTTTTTTTTTTAATCGGTTCGTTTCCGTGTTAGTTAAAAAAAACACGACATCATGTCGTGTCGTGTTCGTGTTACATAAAACATTGTTGTGTCAGACAAAAACACGACACGATGACCTGATTTGCCACCCCTACAAAAAATAGTCAACAAATGTCTTATGTGATGTACTAAGACCATGGAGTTTACGGGTGGGTTGGAGATGCCCTAAGATACCAATCTTAGAGGTGAAAATGAGGTAGGGTTGGAAAAGAATTAGGGAAGAAATGGAGTTTAGGGGTGGGTTGGAGATGCCCTAAGATACCTATCTTCTTTCCTATTATACATCCATCCTCTCTCACTATTTGTTGACATAAAGACTACAATTAGAAGCATGGTTCTAAAAAGCGCGCCATGGCACACCTCAAGGCGTGCCATGGCGCGAGGCGGGGTGTAGCCGTTACGAAAACGTTCAAGGCGGGTTTGTGAAGCGTGACACCCAAATAACGTGTCAAGGCGCGCCTTATTGTGTTATGGCGCGAGTTTTTTTTCAAGTTGAGAGTTTTTTTTGTTTTGTTTTTTTTATCGGGCCTAAAATAAATGAGTTTTTGTTAAATTTTTTCTATTAGATATTAATATAACACTTCTAAAAAGATAAATAATACTATAATTTGTAAATTATAAAACTAACTTAACAAAAAATGGACCAGGTCCATGTTACGTCAATGTGTGAAGATATTGGGCCGCCCGACTATTAACCCATGTGATCCTTCTTTAATTATTTCTTTTGGTTTAAAAAGTAATTTATAAACCCTAAGTGGATGTATCTTTAAAATAATTAATGTTGCTATTTAGAAATAGTTAATGTTATTAGAAGTTTCACTGTGTGTCTTCTACTCGATGTAAATGTTTCTTTCATTTGTCCTTGTATTCTAGTTCCAAATATGTGGATATAAAATTATCAAAGAAAAATAGGTTTTGTCTCGGTGACAAAAATGATTTGGTCTTTGGCAACAATAGTTACGTGATATGAAGTTTAATCAACCACCATACTAGATTTATTTCAGAAAGAATAAGATATCGAACCATAATAATTGTCGTTTTGCTTTAAATCAAATAAAGACGTCGATAACCATTGTTCTTGTAATCTCATTTCGTAATATCATAATTCATAATGAATGGGAATTAATTAAACTGGTTTGTATCGACTGTTTTAGAGCTATGTTTTTTCTTTCTTTTAACAAATACGAGTATTAATTCTTGAATCAAACTGTTGGGTATTTAGTTTCTTGATAACTTCACAATTTCATTAGCAAGCTTCTCAGCATCAATGCAAGACGAGCCATTAGAACCAGTCGCCTTTTCCGCAACTTTCTTCCACTCCAAAGCTTTCTTCCTCATTCGTTTACCCTCTACTCCCTCCATTAACTCATTCACAAGCTTCTCCACTTCATCCCTCTTCACATTCCTGCTAATCTCCATGCCAACTCCCCATTCCTTGCACATTTGTCTGCAATTTGTCTGCTGATCACCGGAAACCGGCCAACATATCATTGGTACACCAGCCGACAAGCTCTCAATGATCGAACCCCACCCACCATGAGTCAAGAACCCACCAACAGACGAGTGGTTCAACACCTCTTCCTGTGAACACCAGTTTGCTACAAAGCCTTTACCCTTCATCGCATCCTCGAGTTCTTGAGGCAAAACCACGGGCTTCCCATCAACCAAATCACTCCGTATTATCCAAAGAAACTCATGGTTACTGTTTACAAGTCCCCAACCAAACTCTAGTAAATCTTGTAGTGACATTACGGCTATACTTCCAAAGTTGACATATACCACAGAATTCGGTTCCTTTGACTGGAGCCACTGTACACATTCAGGTTCTTCCTTCCATAAACTATAGCCATTGCAAAGCGACTTGTTGGCTTCGTTTTCTGTAATTTGATTCAGAAGTAATTCCAGAGGCCCGACAGAGTAGACATTAGGAAAGATGGATTTAAGCTCTTTGATGAGACTCGCCTCGAGTTCCTCGAATGTATGGATGATCATATGCGAAACCTTATGAGCTAATTGAGCGGTTTCCAGGAGGAATTTAAATGCAGGATTATCATGTTTAGTGAATAGTTTAATCTCAGGTAGTTCCTTCAAACGGATACCTTCCATTCCAGGAATCCAATCTATTTCCATGTCAAGGTACCCATTAGTCAGATAAATTTCATCTGCAAAAAAAAAAAAAAAAAAAAAAAAAAGTTCAAGTTTGTTCGATATATTAAAAGTCACCGAGATTAATTCATATGGATGTTGGCCTTCAGTTTTTGGAATCATGGGACAATATTTCAGGAGCTTCAGATATATATTACGAACAAAAAACAAAAATAAGTTTTAGTTTGAGCTATCCATATAACAAGAAGACCGAGCTAACCTTTAAGTGGGAGAATTCCTTTCTCCGCTAGAACTTTGACCTGGTAAAACCCCATGAACCCACTGGCAGCCATGGTCCAGAAAAGGATGATGGGGATGTTAAGCTTTTCAGCAGCATGAATAGTATTTGTGTAAGTCATGAACCCATCGCAAATAATACAGGTGACTGGAATCTCAAGCCCAGACACAACGTCAAGAAAGGAACCAAGGAAATTGGCTCCAAGGTAGGTCCAGAGTTCAGCCATGGTTTGCGTATGCTCAACACCATCGTCTGTAGCAGGAGAGAGACCATCAGGAACCGTTTTGAATTGAAAACCAGGAGCTTTATCGAGCCCGAGAAATCCCATTGGACTTTACGAGGCGCTTCTGATTCGAGTGAGTGTTTATGAAGGTTACATGGAGGCCCTTGTGGTGCAGAATCCTGGCTAGTTTGAGCATACACTTGATGTGGCTTTGTGCTGGATATGGTACGAACACCACATGAGGCTGCTTCTGACCGATTATGGGCACTGCATCGCCCATCTCTCTCTGTGTGTGTGTTACTATGTGATATATCGTCTGGTGCTGTTATCTTATATATTGATTTTAAATGGTCTTAAGAGGTGGAAATCAACATCAATGGTCCATACATGACAAATGTTTCTGCCCCACCCCTTTCCTCGTCTTTGAAATAACTTTTCAAATATATGTACAGTGTAATATTCCATTAGATATTATGGGTCATGCTCGTACCCATATTATGACTGCCACATCATCATCTTCTTCCGTAACATGTAAAGGGGGATGGTGTTCATTTTTGGAAACGACGTTGAGGAAGGAGAAAAGCAGAAAAACTAAGGAAGAAGAAAGAAAACGGACGTTGAGGGGATGTTACCTTGGCAATGGGAAACAACGGGAAACCAGGGGTGGTGTTGGTGGCGTTATACCAGCGTTGAGGTGCCTCCACCTCAGCAAAACGGCTTCGGTCGTTGCCTACACCGATCATTCTTAGGCTAAATTTATTATTTTTTATAATCTTTTATTATATGCCGGAACAAGTACATACTTGTATTTATGTTTTCAGAATCATGTTTATCGTATCATTGTTCTTATAAATTCTTAAACTGTAACTAACAGAAAATCATCATTGTTCTTGAAATACATTTATCTTTTAGTAAATAATATAATCTATATTGATCTCAAAGTGGCGTGCTTAATTTATACCTTATTATTATTATTATTTTGGTTGGAAGAAAATCAAAGATTCAATGAAAGTGACATATAGATGTATCGTGGAACTTGCAGTATGGAAGGTGGACTTTTCACTTTCAATTGTCTATGAATTTCTCAATTAACTTTAAGTGGGGCGTTCAAGCTTGACTTGCTTTGACAATGAAATTTGATAAAAATTATCTTTGGCTTAACGGTAAGAGTGATCTTCTCATTTTAGAGATCATGAGTTCAAGTTTTATTTGAGATATATGTGGTAGTCAAGAGTAAATTAGTTTGACGTTAAAAAAAAGGGAAAAAAAAGAACTAGATTAGGATCCTCATAAAACGCGGGGAACGTATAAAAAATACATATAAAGTCATCCAAAAACCGACATAATAATTAAAAAAAGAAAGATGAACTAATAAAAACAATCTTCGCATTATTGATTATATTGAAATGTTTAAAAAATAAAATAAAATGTGTGAATATTTATAATTGTTGAAGGATCTCTTTGTAGACAATATTTTTTTAATAAATGATAGCAATATTCAGTATGGTTCCTATTTATTCAAAAGTAATAAAAGTAAATAGCAATGTACTTTGAAAGTATATTGCTATAAGTTGTAAAGTTGTTTTTCTGTAAAGTTGTAAAGCTTTTTTCCTAAGTAACCTAATTTACAGCAATGTACTTTCAAAGTACATTGCTATATAGTAACTTGGTGTTTTCTAAAAGTTAACAAAAATTGTCCCTATTAACATAATAAAGGTAAACAACAATGTATATTGATATCATTTATAAAACTGATAATAACAATAAGGGATAATGACTTAGAAGACCATTAAAGTTTCAAATTTGTTCAGAAAACACCATTCAGGTATTACATGTTCAAAAAACACCATCAAACTAAGACATATGTTCAAAAAACACTAACGAACAACATATTCTGTTCAGAAAACACAATCTTTATGGTTTGGGGTAACTTACATGTTTAGCCCCTAACTTTTTTTTCTTAACTCTGACAGTCCCTAACGTTTGTATTTATTTTTGCTTCGGACCATGATCGAGTTAAAAGACTAATATAACCTTATTAGTTTCATTTAACATTTATTTTTATTACTTGTTATGTAACGACCCAAAATTTAAGACCAAATTTTTTTTTAATAAAACATTACTTTAAGCAAAGTCATCATTCAAAACATAATCAGAGTATTAATCTTCAAAACACATGTTCATTATCAGAGTAAAAATTCCCTGGCTGTCTAATCTATCGATGTGTGTCATGCGATCACCCCGAGCTCTTCCCTCCGCTACCGGAAGTACCTGAAACCAAAACTGAAAACCGTAAGCACGAAGCTTAGTGAGTTCCCCACCCTAGCTAACACATACCATGCATAATCACATACTGCACATACTGGGCCACGCCCGCTATCTTGGGCCTCGCCCGCTACAACGGCCCCGCCGCTCCAGGCCTCGCCTGGCTTCGAGCCCCGCTCAGATACAGATCTGTTTCACTTAGGCCTCGCCTGTCATAGGGCCTCGCCCGCCGACAAATGATAATACATAAACATATCACAACACATAAGCTAAACTCATACGACTGATCCTGTCCTAAGGCCTCGCCTATCATGAACCTCGCCCCTGTCCTGCTACTGATGAGCCATGGAACCCCGTCCACGCTCCTACTGGTAGTGAGATACGGGCCCAACCCACTCTCATTCCTTCCCTAACTTGGGCCTCGCCCCTGTCTGCTACTAGTGAGATATGGACCCCATCCACATTCTGCTATTGGTAGATACGGGAACCTCGCCCACACTACCTCCTACCAGGCACATACATGTATCACACAGACAAC